ACATCTCCAGCGAGACAAGAGGAAAGTACTTTAGACTCCAGTGAACAGAGTGGCCTCTGATTGATAAAACATTGTACGTTTAAAGTTGCCAAGAGGCTGGGTGTGGTGGCACATGCCTGCCTTCCCAGCACTTGGCAGGTAGAGACGGGGATTAAGAGTTCAAAGCCAGCCTCGGCTGCAGAGCCAGTCTGGATTATAAAGACTCAGTCTTGATGTCTAATAGTGGAGGGCACCCCTGCACACTCCACTCACACATGTGGCTCCTGCTCCCCAGGACTGTGGGGAGGTCTTTCACCGTCACTGTCATCTACAGCAGGGTCACTGCTTTCCCCAAGCCCGGCTCCACCAACAGCTCCTGCAAGCACACGCTGAGTGACTGTCATACAGTGCAATGCCGCATGTCCTTGGATTGGGCTGGGCTGGTTCCTTTAGGAGCTGCTACAGGGAAAAGCCGTGAGCCACTGAGTGCCATGTTTGGTATGAGGGAATTTGTCGTGTTTGCCATGTCATTGCTGAAGGTGGAAAACTCCACCAACACATATTCGCTAGCCGTTAGGACAGGGCGTCTGAGGTCCCCACTACTGTGGAACACAGCCTCAGATATGTGAGCCACACGGAGAGATGAATGGGAAGTTGAGCATGTGACTAAGTGGGGACATTGTTTAGGGGACATAATAAGAAGTACACAATATCTGGTTCTTAAAAAAAAGAAAAAGCTTCTCTCGGGTACCCAGGAAATGGCTTAGCAGATTCAGTGCTTGCTTTGCATATAAGAAGACCTGGATTTGATCCCCAGGACCCATGAAAAACAAAATCGTGGTGTAGTAGCACCCACTTATAAACACACATACACACAGATGTGCATATACACATGCATGCACACACATGTGCACATATACACACATAAGCACATATATACTTTTCCATTTATCATGTACCAATTTTGCTGTGAAACTCTTCCTGTCAAGGCTGGAGACACCTGTGGTGCCCAACTGGCTTCTGAAATCCCTGGGCATTAGGTGGTTGCTTCTCACAAGGCTGAATAAGCCCTGGGCATAGGTACGACCTGTGGTTTATCTGGAAAAGAGATGAAAACCTGCATTCAGACATAGCCAGTGACTTGTGCAAAGGCCCCGAGGTCAAATGATGGATCGCGGTGTGTTGAGGAATCAATAGCCTGGCAGGATGGAGACGCAAGGCAGGGGCTGGACTGAGGCTGGGTTTAGGGGGGAATTCAGTGACTTCAGGCGGCAGCTAAATTGGCACTGCAGTCTGAGGCCACAGGAAGTCCTCGGAGGGTTGTAAGCAGGAGAGTGCCCGGATCTGATTTGCATTTTTAAAAGATTACTCAACCACTTTCTGAAAGACCAGAAGAGGCAAGCAGTGTGTTGACAGCCGCCCAAATGAGAGGCAATGCAATGGCAGCTTGGTTTGGAGTGCCAACAAGGGAGGGGATGGAGTGGCTGGCCCTGATTAGCACATGCCCTCCAGCTGTTCCCCATGTGTCCCTTCCTGGGGCGCACTCTGCTCTTGTCACGGGAGGAGGAAGCAGCTCAGCATGAGCGCTCACTGCCGCCCTGCCCGCCTTTCTTCTGGCATTGTGGACAGTGTTTACCACCTCTGGTGAACCAGGGAAGCCAATTAGGAAATACACTTATCTTGGGTCCCCACGCAAATCCCTCATAAGAAGGTGATCTCTCCGTGTGGCCTTCCGTTTGATCTGTGCCACCCGAGAGCAGTGGGTGAGCTTCAGATGCGTGGCTTTGACTGGGACTTCACCTTTGCTTGAGGCTGCCACACCTGTCAACACTGTGGGCGTCAGTCCTGCAGGCAGGTCATCCTCCCGCTCAGCTCTCAAGCCTAGCCTGTCTCTGTGCGGCTTCCCGCAGGAGCACCCGAGCCCTGGTTCCCATACCATTCGATAGGATGTGCTCTGGAAAGATGGATGGAAGTTGAAGGTCACACTGTCTACAGTGGTGGCTGCTAGCCACATTTGGCTAGAGAATAAACATTTAAAATACGCTACATGGGGCTTAGAAACTTCTAGCTTTACCCTGTTGCTGTGATAAATGCTCTGACCAAAAGCAAGATGGGGGAGAAAGGGTTTTATTTTTCAGCCTCCAGGTCACATGTGGCCCATTATTGAGAGAAGTGAGGGCAGGAGCTTAAAGCGGAAAACTTGGAGGGCCATTGCTTGCTGGCACAGGCTCCTGCTTACCTGATTTTTTTATCTAGTCCTCAGTCACCTGCCTAGGGAACAGTGGTGCCCGTAGAAGGCTGAGTCTTTCTACATCCATTAACAATAACAATAACCCCCATAGGCCTGCCCAAGAGCCGATTAGACCTGGGCAGTCGCTCAACTGAGACTCGCTTGACTCCAGGCTGTGTCCACCGTGATAGTGAGTGTGTGTGACTGGTGACTCCGCACGGAGCAGGGTCATTCTAGGTCATGCCCATCACCTCAGAGCCTTTCTTTGTTTTGTTGGTTTGTTTGTTTTCGTTTTTTGTTTAGGTTGGTTGGTTGGTTGGAAAGTGACCAAGGCAATCTTACTAAAGTTCTATGGAACTTGTCCCTTGTCATAGGCTCTTCAATTTGCAAATATAGGAACAGAGGGACAGAAAGATCAAAGAGGATGCTGGGAAGTGGCTGGAACTCGGGACCAGGTTCTCAGCTCCACATGTCTTTGTCTTTTGTTAATTAGTGTATACTTAATCACATGTTCTTCTTGTGCCATGGGTGTGAAGTCACTGTCCTCTCTGGTCACCTCTGCGGTCTTGGACTCCTCTTCTTCCTGCATGGGAGTCACAGTGTAGTCGGTGTGGAGTGTATCGTCCACACCCTTCTCTCTCACATCCATGAATGTGTAAATAGAAATGTTTTGTATTGTTTGATAGATTGTAGGGTTTGACACATTTTCCCTTAAATAAAACCAGTCCATTTATTTACAAACCACAGCTTTCTTGTGAATGTTGGGGGAAAACCATGCGAGCTGTGGATCTGGGGAGCAACTCAGATAATCAGGGCTGGCAGCCAGCACCTTTACCCACAGGGGCCTCTGTCAGGCCCCACCCCCACCAACATAGACTAGATCTTTTGGGGTCAGCCCATAGAATATATACTTTTTGATCTGCTGTGTTACCTTGTCTGGGTTCACCACTCTCTTCCAGTGTGTTCTCTGTTTATATGCATGGGGCTTCTCCAGGTTGTGTAACGATGGGTGCACACCTGGGTTATAGGACGTCTGTTGTCAAATTTGTGTGCTTTTTTGAAAAAATTTTCAAGACAGACTTTCTCTGTGTAGCCCTGGTTGTCCTAGAACTTGCTCTGTAGATCGGGCTGACCTTAAAAAAATTCAAACTCATAGATATCCGCCTGCCTCTGCCTTCTTAGTGCTGGGATTAAAGGCGTGCACCACCACCATTCAGTGTAACTCTAGGGCATCTGTTAGAGGTGGGACCCAGTTTCATCCCTTCCCCGTGGATGTTCTTCAAGAGTCTTTATATACTTCACAGGCTGACCTTTAGCCTGTTAAGAGTGACATGCATTTTCTTCTGGTCCTTAATTAGTTTTGACTTGATCGATTGCACCGTTGTCTTACTCTTTCTTTTTTAAAAGTATAAAATCAGTCTGTGCTAACCACAATATTGTCCTGTGAAAAGTGAATTATATCTATAGACCTTCTTAGGTGACCTTGGTGACCTTTGTCAACAAGAGCTGTGTGTGCCTGTCTCCCTTCTCTCTTTCTCTCTCTCTCTCTCTCTCTCTCTCTCTCTCTCTCTCTCTCTCTCTCTCTCTCTCTCTGCCTTCCAGAGGCAGAGGCAGGATTTTTCTGTGTGGCCCTGGCTGTCCTGGAACTCACTCTGTAGAGCTGATCTGGCCTAGAACTCACAAACTCACAGAGATAGATCCATTGTCTCTTTGCTTCCTGAGTGCTGGAATCAAAGGCATGTGCCACCACCGCATCTCTTGGTGATCACTGGAGTTGTGCTTTTCCTCTGTCTGTCTGTCTGTCTCTGTCTGTCTCTTGACAGTCACTGGACTTAGGCTTTCACTGTATCTATTCTTAGGTTGTTCGGTTTTTCTCTAACGTTTTATTTTTATTTGCTTGTGTTGATTGCACACACTAGTTGGTTCCATCATGGCATCTTTACAGTGTATTTTTACCCCATCCACCCTCGCTACCTCATCCTGCTTCTCTTCCCACTTAGTTCCCTCCTACTTTCATATCTCTTTATTTGCTTATTTATTTTGACGATCCAGTGTCATAAGTGCTGTGTACATGGAACATGGGCACCGTATAGTGTCTACACCGCTGAAGAATATCTCTCCCTCCCCAGCTACCGTTAGCCTCCTGCAGATACTCAGAGAGGGACCTGCCTTCATGAATCCGCCCCCCATAACTGCCATTTCCTGGCAATGGATTCTGAGGGTGGTTGGTGGGAGGGTCTTCAGATTGTTTTCTGTTCCCATTTTCCCAACCCTTTGCCAGTGACTAAGTACCGATCTATATTGTTTCTTGTGGCTGCTTAGAAGACACACATGTGTACACACAACGTGTACACACAACGTGTACACACAACGTGTACACACACACACACACATGAGTATTTTGCCTGTGTTATGTTTGTGCACCACATATGTACCCGGTGCCTGTGGGAGCCAGAAAAGGGCATGGGATTCCCTGGAACTGAAATTACAGATGGTTATGAGCCTCCATATGGGTGCTGGGAATCCCACCCGGGTCCTCTGTAAGAACAGCCAGTACCCGTAACAGTTGAGCCCTCTCTCCAGCTCCTTAGTATCCATTTTAGAGGAGATCCTTATTTGAACAGTTGCTCTGGGTGGGCGCCAAGGCAGCTTCTGGCCACGCACCCATCCAGGTCACACAGCAGCCCTACACTCTTTCACTCCATGTTGTCTCTGGGTCAGACTAGAGAAGTCTCACCTATCCCCTACTCCTGGAAAAAAATTAAAGATTGTTTTTTTTTTCCTTCCTTAGCTCCACGGCTACATGGAGAATAAGCCCCTGGGACTTCAGATCTTCATTGGGACAGCCGATGAGAGAATCCTAAAGCCGCATGCCTTCTACCAAGTACACAGGATCACAGGCAAAACCGTTACCACCACCAGCTATGAGAAGATTGTGGGCAACACCAAGGTCCTGGAAATCCCCCTGGAGCCAAAGAACAACATGAGGGCCACGTAAGGCTGGGGCAGTGGTGGGGCTTCCTGGGAAAGTGAACAGGGGCTGAGTGATAGGATTGGGGGCATCTCTGTGAGGGTACTGCTGCCTGTCCAATCTTGGAGACACCCGTCTGCATGGTGGCCCATATCTGTAACCTAGCACTTGGGAGTGTGCATGGGGGCAGAAAGCTCTGGAGTTTGTAGGTAAAAGCATCTTCAGCTACATATTGAGGCCCAGCCCAGCCTGGGCTACATGAGACCCTTTCTCAAAAATCAAAACAAAAACGAAGACTGATGAGACCTAAAGAATATTTCCATTGACAACACAGGTCACGCATGTAGCATTTCCACCACATGGCACATACGTGTCAGCATCAAAGAACCTTTTATGAGGAAGAAAGCTCATGCCTACCGGAAGGCTGTGGGAGGTGGGGTACACCTGTGGGAGGTGGGGTACGAGATCCCTGGGGCACCGGTCATGCTGCCCCCGATTGCTGACAGGGTCCACATTCCCTTCTCTCTTCTCTGCCTCACGCCGTAGCCCTGGGTCCTTCAAGAAATGGTCGACAATGCCCTTGGCTTTTACAGATCTCGCTGTGCATTCCCAAAGGGCAAGGGTGCTTTCTTGTTTGCTGAATTCAAGAGACCCTGGTACCCTGATATTTGTGGAGTAGCCCTGGCCAGTTCTACCAGCTGCCTACTTGAGTTTTCCCGGTGCTTTTGTGAATAGAAGCATTGATGAGAAAAATTTCCCTAGAGAAACAATCTCCACTCAGGAGATTTTCTGAGTGCTCTGTAATTTTTTTTTTCTTTTTAAAAAATCCAACCTTTTGGCATAGCGTTCTGGTTATCACTAACCCGGGGAATATGCAGTTCCCCGCTGTGGCTGTCAGGAGGATGCAGTCGGTTGACCACCTTGGGCGGGTTTGTGGGTGATCTTTTCTGCTCAGTGACCCGGCCTCCCCTCTGTGCAGCATCGACTGCGCTGGCATCCTGAAGCTTCGAAACGCCGACATCGAGCTGCGGAAGGGCGAGACAGACATCGGCAGGAAGAACACACGAGTGCGCCTGGTGTTCCGTGTGCATGTCCCGGAACCCAGTGGCCGTGTCATCTCTCTGCAGGTGGCATCCAACCCCATCGAGTGCTGTAAGTCAGACCTCAGCGCTGGGTCTTTCTGGCGAAAGGGACCGTACATGAGCGTCCCTGGGAATTCAAGGGACTTGCAAGGATGTACAGTTGGTCCGTGGTGACCAGAGGGCAGAAACTGCACCCAAGGACATATTGATTGCTCTCTGCTTCTATTTGCTTTTGTGGAGACTTCTGTGGCCTCACGGGAAATAAAAAGTAAGGACAGCTAATGGGAGCTGGTGGCTTTGTTTAGTTTAGATATTACTTTGGTCTTCAGAAATATGGGTACAGTTGCAATTAAGTTCCTGGAACACACACACCCTTCTTTCTTTTCATCCCTCCCTTCACTCAGTGAGACTCACAGTAGCACAGCATTAGCTCTGAGCTGTGGCCCTGCAGATGCCGTGGGAAGCATCTGACCACATTCAGGCTTGGGTCACTGACTGGGGCTGTTACACCCATTTCACAGATTAGAAGACTGAGTATTCAGTGTCTGTGCCCAGAAGAAGTGGGTCTGGGACTAGAACTCCAGAGCCTTGCAGGCAGTAAGGTTCTCCAGCTTTCCACCTGTCCCTGCCTGCTGATTGAGGGCTGTCTAGAGTCAAGGTTAGGGGTCATGGCAAGTGTTGGGCATCCACAGAGCAGCAAGATTTTCTCTGTGCCCAAGAATCTTAGAGTCTAGTGGGGATAAGGCCCCGCCCCCAAAGATGGTTGTAAAGTTAGAGAAAAATTTCAAACCTGGCATGAAGTTCTGAAGAATTTTCCTTGGGAAAGATGCTGAGCACAGCACATGGCAGGGTTCTTCCAGGCTTTCACATGTGCATGTGTATCCACATGTGTGCAGTACTAGGGACTGAACCCAGAACCTCATACATGCTAGGCACGTGCGCTACCACCAAGTTATCACACCAATAGTTTTCTTTTGCTTGTTTGATTGTTTTTTGTTTTTGTTTTTCCTTCAAGGCAGGGTTTCTAGTCTTAGCTATCCTGGGACTTGTTTTGTAGACCAGGCTGGCCTTGAACTCATAGAGATCCACCTGCCTCTGCCTCCCTAGTGCTGGGGTTAAAGGTGAGCACCACCACTGCCTGGCTCATCTGCAACAGTTTTAAAACATTTTTTTTTTTGATGAAGAGCTGGTCTTGCTAAATTGCCCTGGCTGGATTTGAACTCTCGATCTTCTTGCCTCTGCTTCCTGAGCAGCTGGAATTATAGGTCTATACCACGGAGCCAGATATCTGTTATGTTTTTGAAAGTTTAGCCATTCTTTTAAGAAGAATAAAGGAAAGGAAACATTATTTCAGGGATTAAAAACTGTTTATTTGGCCCTTCCGGTCTGTCTGTAAGGTAATTTTATGTTATAATCGTGTTTCATGTTAAATCGCTTTCAAGACCCTCTCATTTGTTATGTTACTGGGCGTGGTCAAGGCTGACCTTGCTGATCTATGTCAGTTTCCTACAGAGGTCGGGGAGATGGTGGAAATGAGAGAAGTAGCTGAGTGGGAGCAGACAGCGGGGTGCAGTGGAGACTGGGGACCAGAGGGTACCCTAACCTCAGCAGGCATCGTGAACTGACAGCAGCCTGTGTTCTCACATGGCAGCATGGGCTGTATGGCCAATTCCGATGCTAAAAGATTAACCGGAACAAAAACATTTCCTCACTTAGAAACGGCAACCGGGGAAGGTAGGCCGAGGCTCAAACCTAGACTCTGCCCTTAGCATGCAGGAAGCCCTGGCTCTGGCTTCCCAGAACGCTCACATGCAGTATTGATTAAAAATGGCAGTAAATCCAAGAGACTCAGAGAGCCAGGCAGAACCTTTGAGAGGCTTCTTCTTATCTGGGTGGTCTTGAGTTGTGAACAAACAGACGGAGAGTGTGGGGCCTTGTGGTACAAGGAAGTACAGAAGAACTGACCACCAGGGCCGGAAGCAAGGTCAGAGGGCATGGACAGTACTAATGGAAACCAGGGAAGGGCCTGTGGGAGCTTGTGGCTCAGCCAGGCAAAGCTGGGGAGCTGGGAGCCTGTAATCAGAGATGGGAGACAAGAGCCACCAGCAGGGAAGGAGAGACGCAGGGTGTCAGTCACCCTCTCACCACTGTCCTTTGGTCTCAGGAGTGCCCCTATCCTGTTTGGTTTTGAATGTCTCAGGATTGTTCTAGAAGGAAACATGGACTCCTTCGTGATTTTTGGAGGTGTTGAGCAGCAGGGCTCTCTGCTTTCAGGCCAGCAGCTCACCTTTAGGGTGGGACTGTGGTTGACTGCATGGTAGGGGACAGAGGATGTCTGTCAGTCCCCTGCCTCCTTCTCTGGGCTCCTCAAGCCAGTGTGTCTGATGTCACCCTGAGGTCTTCAGGAGCATCGTGAACCACACGTGCCTTCGGCAAAGTTGTTAACACATCTGAAAACCCCGAGCCGTGCAAATCTGTTAGTCCCTCACTGGGGTCAGCTACCTCATCTTCCTCTTCCTGACAGATAAGGAGACCCAGCCTTTCTTGGTAATGTGATACACCGTTTTACTCAGTAGCAAAGTTGGAGTTCCAAACTTTCCAGTTCCGTGAAATACCTTCTTTTGGCTTTTATAATGCAGTTTTTCTGGCGGAGCCACACCCTCGGCTGCTGGCCGGCCACTGTCCCTCCCTTCTAGTCCTCTGTTGGTTTTCATTGCCTGCTTTGCTCTATTCTGGAGCCATGCAAGGGCGCTCCATACCTGTTAGCTTGATTGATTGACTTGGTTTATAGCCTGTAGGGCGATAATGAATACATATTGACAATTAGTGACTCACACCTGTAGACACAGAATGGGGAGGATAAATATTTATTGTCTAATTGGCTTTACACTGTTGGGGAGGATGAGCTGGTTAAAAAAAAAACCAGAGTGGGCTGGCCCCTATTTACAAGGCTAACTTATTTATTTTGGAAAGATGCCCCCGTGGCCTAGTTCAAACAAGAACATGTTAGTGAACATGCCGACGGACGCCACTGTTCTAACAGTGGGCCTGTGCCTATTGAGGTCCTGAGGAGCCACAGCTGTGTTTCTCAGCATCCAGGCACTTCCCAGGCTGCCCTGCGGTCTCAGCTAGGATTCTACAGCAAGGGGGAGCGTGGCTTTGCCCTTGGGCTGTCTGAGCTGTTGCCATGCAGCGGCTTCCGCCTCAGACATTTCTGCTTCCTAGATGTGGGGCCAGAAGCCTGCCAGGGGGTAGCTGCTGGGTCGGAGGGCCGCACCTCACACATATCTCTGAGTTGCCCTCTGTGCGTGCATGGCTTGGGTTTCTGCCTCCACCTCCTTGGGCTCCGGTCTATATCCGCTGGCGTCCTCCTCAGCTCTGTCATTGGTGAGGGCTCAGGCCCCACCTCAGCCCTTGCTCATGTGCAAAGACCCTACTTTTGAATAAACCCATTGTGGGTTGTCAGGTGAGGCCTGGGGTGGGGTGGGGTGGGCACTGTTTAGCCCGTTCTGATATGGTCCTCCACTTCCGGATGCTCCCAGAGTTCACAGGGGCTTAGTCTTCCTCCCCTTCTCTTGATTTGTTGCTGACTGTTCCACTCAGGCAGATGCTCAGGCTTAACCCAAGTGTGGGTCAAAACCACATGTACATGTGCACACACACACACGTACACAAACAGCACACATATGCATGCATAAGTAACATACATAACATACACACATAAATAACACGTGCATGCATGTATATTCACAGACACATATAAATAATACTAATGTACAAACATGTATAAAGACCACATATACTTAATACACATATGTGCATATACATACACAACACATGTATTTATACATATGCACACATGCACACCCATGTATATATACACACATATGCACATATACATATATCAATATGTATATATGCACAAACACACATAAATAAATACATGCATGTACACGTACAACACATTCTCACACGTAAATACATGCATGTATGTGCATGTACAACACATTCATACAAATACATATATACATATATGTATGCACATGCACACACAACCACACATAAATACATATATATGTACATATATACAAATATAAACATTTACGCGTATACATATGCACACATAAAATACATAAACATCTACATGTGCACACACATACACATGTGCACACAGAAGCACACACATATACTCTGTCTCCATTTAGGGTATGATCTTAGAATAGAGACTTTTAGGGAGCCCCCAAGTGTCTGAAGTAGGGCATAGAGAACTTGTGACCTTCCTCCCTCACTCTGTGCCTATTACGTGGTTAGCTAACTCCTTACTCACAGCCTCCTAGTGGACAAAGTGTCCCTGAGTCCAGAAGGCCTCAGATCCCTCTTTGAGCACTGACCACCACACTCCTCATGTCCTTCCAGCAAGGCCAGGGCAGGTGTTTTGGGGACTTGTCATTAGGAGTAGTCTAGGACATTAAGGAAGTGAGGGAAGATGCCTCCAGAAACCTCCCAGTGGGTCATGAGACAGAGATGCAGTGTCTGCTGGTGCCTGCAGCCGGGCCCACACAGCCCTCGCAGAGCCGCCTGTCTGTGGCCCACTGAGGCTCTACCCAAGACCTGTGGGTTCTCTCCAGGACCTGCGGATTCATGCCCACAACCACATTGCAGGAAACGCCTAAAGCAATTGTGCGCCAGGCCCTCCCCACCCAGGGCGCAACACGAATTCAGAATTCACTTTGCTCCTTTTGCAGAGTGGGAGGGAGGTGTGGGCTTGTCTTTTTGACATATGCATTCTCATCGAGGTGTAATTATGAAACAGTAGGTTACACAGAAGTGTCATATAGTTGAGTGACTCTTGGCAATGGCAGACACCCTCGTCACCACCATTCCAACCAAAATGCAGAGCACTTGGGCCCCTCAGTTGCTGCTGCTCACCAGGCCGCACAGAGAGGCAGTCACTGATTTGCTACCTGTCCCAGCTCTGCGACTTTGTAGAGCAGAATTAACATGCAGACTGTGTGCTTTGGGGTTCTGCTGTTTCCTTTCAGTATTTTTTTTTTCTGAGCCTGTTTCTGT